CGCGACCTGGCCCCGGATAAGTGGAAGAAAATGGATGGATAACGCACAATAGAAATGTCTGTTTTTTTATTATTTGTGGGTTAAAAAAAAACTTTCTCCATTAAAAGTCTGGACAATGAGCTGCCAGAACTTTTTCTGTAATTTTACACATTTATGCTTTACAATTTAAGCCCCAAAGGTTCATGTTGACAAATTTCTTTAATTAAATAGAGTGGCATTTCTCTACCATGCAATACAACTGAGATGTGCTGTTGAAATTGCACTTCATTTTTTCATATACTGAAATATGGCAGGAATGAAATGTGCATCTAAACTTATTTCCACTGACAAAAAGGGCCTTTTTACTGACATGCGCTATATTTGACCTCACATGTAAAATGAGTTTGAAAACCCTGCTCTAAACACTGGTCAAGATAGCAATTATGACACACTTTACAGGGCTTTCTTGTAAAGTGTGTCACTTAAATTAACTTTGAAGTTAGAATCAAAGCTATAGTACCAAAATTCAAAAGAGTTAACCCAAGTCCTTCACAATCAGTTAAGAACAAGAGAAAGCAATAGGGAAACAAATATAGATAAATTAGAATCAAATACAGATAAATGAGAAGACAACAAATTAACATTAAAAACATAAAACAGGCCTGATGGTACTCAAACTGAACTCGAATTAAAAGCCAAAGTAAAAAAGTTTTAAGATGTGATTTAAAAGACCGAACAGACTCTGAAGTACGAATATCCTCTGGCAGATTAATCCAGAGTCTGGGTGCTGCTACTGCGAAGGCCCGATCTCCTCTATGCTTCAATCTAGACCTCGGTGGTGCTAAAAGCATCTAGTTAGATGATCTCAGCACTCTTTTGGGGTCATACATGTTGAAGGGTTTGTTTAAATAACTAGGCGCCATATTATTTAAAACTTTAAAAGTAAACGAATCTTAGAATCAATACGATACTTGTAAATTTGCGAAAACTGGAGTGATGTGTTCATACATTCTAAAACCTGTTAAAAGACTCACAGCAGCATTTTGGACGAACTGCAAGCGATGGAGAGATGAGTGTTGAAGACCCAAATAGAGAGAATTGCAGTAGTCCAGTCTAGAGGTGATGAAGGCATGAATAAGTGTTTCTAGGTCTCTTGGAGGAAGATAAAGCCTAGCTTTGGCAATTTCACATAACTGATAAAAACTTGTTTTCACAACTGTGGACACTTGCTTCTCTAATTTAAAAGAGCTATCTAAAAACACTCCGAGATTCCTTACAGTGTGAGAAAGATGAGAAGCAAGAGGACCGAGGGTATCAGTTAACTTGTTCAAAGGGGCATGAGTTCCAAATACCATAACTTCAGTCGTATTTTCATTTAGTGTGAGAAATTTCTGTGTTAACCAGTCTTTAACATCATGCAGACAGTTAAGCAAAGGCTGTAGTGGGACAGAGACATCCAGTTTCAAAACTAAAAGCAAAAATAAGTTCACACCCTATGAAGGTATGCATGTACCTACAATGGGTGTGATTATGCCTGCATATATAGTGTGAGCTCTCATCTATATACCTTCATGTTACATAGGCTACTCTGTACTAAAAAGGGTACAAATGTGTGCGTGTGCTGTTTAGGGATTATAACTACAGGGATTGTTTGGCTACTGCTTCTTGAATATTAGTGAATATTGGTGCTAAGTAGAGCACACTTTGATCTTAAATGAGCTGAACCAGTGAAACTCCCCTTTCTGTCACTGTATAAAAAGTTCCACTACATACTTAATGTTTGAAATATTTTAATACTAGGGGGAAAAAGGGCAGTTTCAACAATACATTGCAGTTTTTCTGATTAAGGCTTAAATTGTAAGAAATAAGTGCGTAAAATGAGAGAAAAATTGCACAAACTAAAATGTTGAAACAAAAACATTTTTGTCAATGTTTTGGATGTCTTTTATTTATACTATTAACCCACTATAAAAAAAATCATACATTTCTACAGTAGATAGCGAAAAACTGGAACCTTATTTTTTTTAATTGTTTGTGTATTGTTTACTTTGTTGTAGTATAAATGGCCATGTGGGAAGGAGACGCTGTAGAAGTTGTTAAAATTCAGTTAAACATAAATAGTTTATATCCTCCTTCACATTTTCCATCCAGTGGGCTGCTTTTGCCGACCGATTCTGGCCCACAGTCCTCATGTGTGATACCCCTGACATGCATAATTAGAAACGTGCATTTGCAAAAGTGCATTGAGCACATCAGTTAGGAAAGGACATACAAAAGGAAACTGGGAGGTTGCTGCTTTACAAAACTTTATAAAAACCTAATGTGCAGGCTATGCAGTACTCAGGTACCATTAAGGCCTACTTTAATATTAGTCTACTAGGGCTGTAAGGGTGTATGCATTAAAGTCTGACTTTGGGACTATACAAATTAGTCGAATAATCGAGTAGCAACAAAGAAACTAATCTCAACTAGCTGAATTGATAGTCAGGGTAGTAAACCAAGGCGGGAAAGCTCTATGTTCACTTTTGAGTGTCCCTCAGCCCTCCTGTTTTGTTAAGTTGTTCCCTTTTATATATTGTCTAATAAATGAATTAAATTTAAGCTGCTAATCAATCAATAACAAAAACTATCATCAGCTCTAATGTTACCTGCTGTAGGAGGCTCATTATAATATCGTAGAGGGGAGTTCTCCTCACCGCCTCGCAGCCACCAGTCAGAGATCTCCGCCCCAGTCATCTTGGGCTACAGCTCGGAGCCCGGATGCGCCGCCATGCCGCCTCTGTCAGCGAATGGAATAATTTATTCACCAACCTGCCTCACACTGGCCCACTAGGAGTTGACTGAAGAAGTCGATGAGACAGTTTCGTGGCCACCGGAGCCTTTGCTGCCTACAGGCTAGTGCAGGATACCCGTGCCGTGCCTGCTCGCTTGTTTGCGTAGCTTAGCACTGTTGTGTCGCTGTAGGGACACTTGTGCTAGCTGCGCTAACGTTAGCTCAAGCGGAGAGAGTGCGGGGTAGTGACAGTCCGGCCGGAGGCGGGGAGAGTCGCGAGCTGCGAGGTGAGACTGTTATATTTTGATGGTGGTTGCTACCCTGTTGACTACGCGTGGCCATCTGTTAAATGGTATCACTTTCGTGAGTGTGACTCACGATTTTAGTGGGGTTCGGGCAGCAGCATATCGAGGTGGGTACTTTGGTGCTTGTCTGGTAGCGCTTTCTGGCCGGAGTAGACCGTAACGTTTACTCGACGTTTCAATCTTCTTGGCCCGCGATAGAGAAGCTAAGAGCTAGCTTGCTAACTGGGTAACAGTGCTAGACGGGGACTCCTAAACTTTTCAGGTCAGCAACCCCTGTGTAGACACGCTTCAGATACCACAATACAGATGTGATAAGGGTGTGAGCCAAGAGATTCTCTGTATCTAAAAAGATGAATTTTGTGTATCGTTATTAGGAAATCACAGTGGAATGTAAAGGGTTATTTTTTTTAACTCCCACCACATAGGTATAAATACAGATACAGGGGCCCTTGGATGTGCAAGTGCCTGGACATCCCAGGATGGCTTGAGCATATTTTTGTTGTAATATTAGCCAACTTATGTTACTTTACTTAACAGGTGTGTGTGTGTGTAATCACAACAATAACAATAAGGAGGCATCATGTTTAAAGCAATTTTGTTCACCATATCTAAAAGAATGTTAAGTTTATGACGTGAGTTTTCCTTCCTGTAACTTCTTTGTTTCTTTTGTTTCTCAGGCTCAGAAAATTACAACCCCCCCCCCCAAAAAAAACAAAAAAAAACAAAAAACAAAAACAAAAAACTTTCTATGTCTTCATCAGCTCTGAAAATCAAAAGAGATGTCTGTTGATGAGGATACTGCAAAAATGGGCAGTCCACAGCCTAGCTCAACGTCATCTCTGCAGCTCACGGATTGTCCTGGTGGTTACGGTGGTGTGTCTGTGATGATGGAGGGAACTGCAGCTACCCCTGACTTTGCAGCTGCTTGCCCTCTTCTGGGCACTGCTGCCTCGCCAAAACACACGAGCACAACTGATGCGCTCACCCTCGCAGACAATGCTGGACAGAGAGCCAGAGGGAACGAGAATAGCATCAATCGCAGAAATAGCTTTCATCATTCCAAACAACAACAACAACAACAACAACAACAACAACAACAACAACAGCAGCAACAACAAACGAAGCTAACAAAGCGGCGCTACACTGCAAATTCTAGTTTCAAGCATCCTTCATCTGGCAAACGGAGACGAAGGGCCAACTCTGAGAGCGATTCTGTCCTGCCCACCAACTTCCTCTTGGGTGGGAACATTTTTGACCCACTGAATCTCAACAGCCTGCTGGATGAGGAGGTCAACAAGGCACTGAATGCAGAGACTCCCAAATCCTCTCCGCTGCCAGCAAAAAGTCGAGACCCTGTGGAGATACTCATCCCCAGGGACATCACAGATCCACTAAACCTGAACAGTGGGATAGCTGACAGCAGCTTTTTGGCTTCTCCCTTCAAGAGTGGAGGAAGGAAGAGACACCGCAACAGGCACCATGGGGGAGGAGGAGGTGGGAGTGGTGGCGGAATTGGGATTTCAGCCACACAAATGAACCTCTCAGAATCAGGAAAAAGTGAAGTTAAAACAGGTCCTTCTGTACCTCTTCAAGGTACCTTAGTCTCATGTTCTGCACTAGAATCCAACAACGAATCCGGTAGTGTTTCTAGTGTCATGGCAGAGTCCCACGAGCACACAGATTGCAGCTCAGCAAGCTGCAAGGAGGAAATGCCACCTGCATCCATGGAGGATTCCACTTCAGGGGCACCATACCAGCACACAAGTAGACGCAAGCGAAGGCGCAACTCGGGCAAAATGGAGCCCCCTGTCACCCATTCTACTCCGATTGGCAAGTCGGGACCTGGAGACAGGCATTTTGGTGCAGGGGGAGCAAGAAATTCCTTTCACACGCCAAAATCTGGTTCCAAAATAGGCCCTGGAATACGCCAGCACCAGCAGCCCCACTCTCATACAAAGGAACAGCAGAAGAAGTTCCAGTATGGGAATTACAACAAGTATTATGGATACCGCAACCCGGGCTGCAGTGAAGACCCTCGTTTACGTTTGCTTCGTCCCGAGTGGTTTAGAGGTAAAGAAGTACTGGATTTGGGGTGCAACTCAGGCCATGTAACGCTCTATATCGCCAAAATGCTAAGACCCGCCCGCATATTGGGCCTTGACATTGACAGTGGTCTGATACATGCAGCTCGTAAAAACATAAGACATTATCTGTCTGAGCTGCAGACCCAAGAGGCCAGGCGAGCAATGCAGGGCAAAAAGACTAGTAAACAGGAGGAGACAAACGGAAACGCGAGTCACACAGGCACAGAAAAAGAGCACAACGAAGCCGAGAGCAGGGACGAAAATGGGAAACCAGTGAAAGCAGAAAGTGGCCCTGCAGATGATGGAAATGACAATGAGTCGTGTCACACGGATGAGATGGAGACCCAGAGGCAGGGCAGCAAAACAGAGGAAATGGAGCAAGAAGACTGTGATTCACCCCCCGCTGATCACTCTGAGAGCTGCTCTTTTCCTGTATCCCTACGGATCTCCAGGGGTCCCATTGCTGCACCCCCGCTAACACAAACATCCACGGTGCAGCCTGGGGAGTTCCCTTCAAATGTGTCCTTCATCAAGGTAAGAGAGGATTTTTTTTTTTTTTTTTTTTTTTTTTTCCCCCTTTTGGGAATATGGCTCAGATTTCTGTGTTGCTGCATATTTTAAGCCTAGATGGCAAATTCAAAAAAATTAGACACTGTGTGTCCTGCTTTATAACGTAATGTTAGGGTAACTGAATAAAATGTGTAAAAATGCACAAAAAGGTGTGTGCATTATGAGAACTGACCAGCCTCTCAAGAGAACTTGATGCAAGTTGTGCACACACTTCCTCTCACTGTGAATTTTTGTTTTTCTTCCCCACTATAAAACAGTTATATAGTATTATATCTAAAAAAAAAACAAAAAACTGACCTTTGCATTTAATTATTGTCACAGTAGTTGAGCCGTGGCTAAATATTAAAAGGTATTATGATGAATCCATACAGTAATTGGTTGTAAAATTTATTTGCATAACACTTATCAAAACCAGCGTTGTAAAATGCTTCCCAAAAAACAGAGTAAATGAACTAACTAGGAGGAAATAAAAAAACAAAAACAAAAAAAAACCCGAACAAAAACAATGTACACTACGAGTTAAAAGTTTGGACACACCTTCTCATTTAATGGTTTTGCTTTATTTTCATGACTCTTTACTTTGCGGATTCTAAAGCCATCAAAACTATAAATTAACTCGTATGGAATTATGTTGTAAACAAATAATGTGAAATAACTCAAAACATGTTTTATATTTTAGATTCTTCAAAATAGCCACACTTTGCTTTGATTACTGCTTTGCACACTCTTGGAATTCCCTCGATGAGCTTCACGAAGCTAGTGCACAACCCCAATGATGGTCCCAACCCCATTAAGAAGGAACGAAATTCCACAAGTAATCCTGACAAGGCACACCTGTGAAGTGAAAACCATTTCACGTGACTACATCATGAAGCTCACTGAGAGAAGGCCAAGGGTTTGCAGTGCTGTCAACAAAGCAAAGGGAGGCTACTTTGAGGAATTTGAGGAATTTATCTTTTTTTTTTTTTTTTTTTTTGCTACATAATTCCATATATTTTGCTTCATATATCTGATGACCTCAGTATGTCTCTACAGTGTTAAAAGTAGTGAAAATCAAGAAAAAACATTTTATATATTTTTTGTTATATGTTAATCTTGCATTATTACTTTGGTGTGTGTGTGTGTGTGTGTGTGTGTGTGTGTGTGTGTGTGTGTGTGTGTGTGTGTGTCAGTCAAACTATAGGCTCCCTGAGTTTTAGGTAACTGGTGATTTTGAACTGATAAGTAAAAACGGCAAAGAGCAATTTAATATTGTGATATAATAACTATTATAGGTTCCATTAAAGTGTCTGAAATCAACTGTGTTTAAGCCACACTTGCTTTTGCACTCTGCAGTCCTTTTTATATGTATTTGTTGAATGGAAAAGGGGAAAAAATACATAGTTTCCAAAGGAAATTGATAACTGCCTCTTCTGTGATACTGGAATTGGATATTGATAGCACACCAAAATAATGAAGTTGTAGATTAACAATTAAAAATTTTTTTAAAAAAGGCAGAAAAGGTGTTGTAATTGCAGGACAGTCTGAGCAGTGAGCTATCAGAACTTTTTTTTTTTCTGTAATTTTACATTTATTTATTCATGTTAACCGATTTCTTTAATTTACTACAGCAATGTTTGTTCTTATTGTGTAGAAAAACTGAGATGTGTTGTTAAAAGTGTGTTTCTTTTTCTTATATTAAGATATCGCTGGGATTTTAAATGTCTTTACATTACCAGTAGGAGGGAGTGTTACTAGTCCAGCCCACTTAAAATCAAAGTGGGGTGCATGTGGCTGACAATGTAAAAAGATTTTATCAGTTTTATCAGGATGTCAGGTTATTAATGTGTTCTTCTACTTTTATCTTTTAATGCTGGTTGAAGATTAGCACTACTACTACTTTCTGCCAGTGGAGGTGCATTGCTTTATACCAGACACTGGTAAAATGAATGGAAATATATTTTAGGACAGTACCCTTCTGAGATTTTGATGAATTTTTTCTTAGTTACTAATCAGAATATATAAATATTAAAAACTAAGCTTCATCTTTGAGAGAATTTTTTTTTTTTTTTTTTTTAGAATGTTCTCAAATGTGGGCAGTGGGTTTATTTTACGGCATTAACAGTGTACTAAACACTGTAGATTTTGGCTTTTCTGTGACCCACAAAGGGTCACAGGAAAATACATATATATATATATATTATCAGTGTTCAAAATAGTGACTATTCCCATAATGCTGTTCCCCATTTCCTCAGTCAGATCTACTGCTTTTTCAGGGCTACTGATCTAAAATAAATAAATAAGCAAAATATCAAAGATAGCACTGACCAAATAGCCATGTTCGAA